TAATAATAATAATAATAATAATAATAATAATAATAATAATAATAAAATGGTTGTTGTATTAAAAGCTTCAGGAATTAATGCATAAAATTTTTGAGTGGTGAGGAAAAGGCATGAAATGTATGTAGTTTAGTTGGTTAAGGTGGTGGAATTAGATGGATTTGGCACAGGTTCGAATCCCATCCACTCCATTTTCTTAAAGAAGTCTTTATTTTTTAGTAAAGAGGTTCGAATCAAGGCGTAAAAGATTTGAGTGGAGAGGAAAAGACATGAAGTGTATGTAGTTCAATTGGCTAAGGTGAAGGAATAAGAGGGAGGAGACCCAAGTTCGAGTCTCATGCCATCCATTTCCCTTAAAACTTCCAATGTTTTTAGTAAAGAGTCTTATGCTGACGTGCATGACCATGTCAGCTGCCACATCAAAAAAGTGTCCAATTTGGCATGCCACATAGGCTGATGACCGGCTTAATAGGTAAAAAGGGACAAAACACATAGGTTGATGATCTGCTTAATAGGTAAAAAGGGACAAAACTGAATAAATTTCCCGGTTTTCTGGGCTTTTTTATTAAAAAAAAATTGGGACTTTTTTAAAACTTTTCCCAAAATATTAGGTAAACAAGTTCATGCAATTCTAGCAATTTAATGATCATAACTCTAGCAATTTAATGATAATAAACTACTAAGTAAACAAGTTCATGCAATTCAAATGGTCATTAAACTACACTTAACTTGAATCTAAGTAACAAAGATGCAAACTTTAACATGCTAGGTAATGATAATTAATCACATGCATTATCCGACTTCATAAAATCCAAATGTAAGCTAGAAACTAACACATAGTATTAGGGTTCATCCACACTAAACGAAACCCTAATGATTAGCTATTCATAGCAGAAATAAGCACAAAAAACATAAGAATTCGACATAGTTAAACCAATGCAAACCGAATGTGATATGTGATCTTCAAATCTTTAATCTCCAAGAGTTCTATCCTCCAAAGGGTTGTTTTTTTGCAGATATCTGGCCTTGAAAATCGACTATCTCCAGAAAATAAGATCCAACCTCTTGAAAGTCGATATGCAAAGGGATATTTATTGTTTCCAAATATCGCTACTGTTAAACCGGCAGTCGCACCAGATTTAAACAAATAAAATAATCACTGTTGGTTGCATTAAAAATATACAGGGACACAGTCTAAAAGTCAATGCCTTTTGCATCAGACAAATTCAAGTCAAAACAAAAATTATAAAAGGGGGATTTTCAATTAGCTAAAAAAAACTGAAATTTGCAGTGATATTAAATTAAACGAAAATCAATATAAAAAACGATTTCAGTTCTACTGCGACTTTCCTAATCATACAATCAATTATCTGGTTATTCAGAATGCGTTCTATCTAAGCTGGTACTGAGAAAAAGTAACAAGCTCTAGTATAATCTCTTTTACCTAAATTAGTTAACCAAAACAAGCTCTTTGAATTAACCCAACTTTTTACTATTCAATTAAACAAACTCTTAATTAAATCAGAAAACCAGCTTTAAAATCTATGTAAAATTCCCAGCAATACCCAATACTTTGTAAAAGCTCGGAAGCGTAAAGATATGATTTTTACAGTTTAT